CTTCCCAAGAGCACCACTCCCCTGGAGCACGGGTCATTGCTCTGATTCTTTCGACGGTGCTTCGTCGTCTCGGGCCTTGCGGCGGACAGCGCGCCTCTACGCGTCTAGCTGCACGCGTCTAGCTACGCGTGTTTCGCTTCGATGTGTGCTGTCGCTCGACGGCGTTGAGCCCCGCGCCGCGCACGGTCGAGCCCCGTCGCCGGATTTCCCTGTTTTGTGGGTGTGGGCGCGGTCTCTGCCTCTGTGTCCTCCACCCCTCGCAGGGCCCCTCCTTTGGCGGCGGTGTTTGTTTCTTTCCGCTTTCTGCTCTCTCGGAAAATTTTCCGCTGGTGTGTTCCCCGCATGCACATGACTTCATATGATGATATGATATGAAGAATGAAGCCGGCGAAGCCGGCGCCGGCGGGGCCCGCGGTCTACAAGCCCAAGACTAAGTCAATCGAATGGTCCTTATAGCTACCTAAAAAAAGTTCTCAATAAAACAGGCGCGGACAAAACAGTGAGAACGGGTACACAGGGGCCGAGCAACCTCGGAACGACGTAAACCCCCGAGACACAACACTCCGCAGGTCACAGCAGTCGCTCACACACGTCACAGAGGGGAGGGGCTACCTAAGCCTTGGGCGCCTCGTAGGTCGGCTCCTCCGCCTCCGCAGGCGCAGCCTCAGCCGCCACCTCGTGTTGAAGCGCCTCCGTGTTCTTCTCATCGACCTCCTGGATGACAGCAGAGATTGCCTTCTTGGGGTCCTCGAACGCAAAGGCGAGGTCTGCGAGGTACCAGGAGAACTCGGTCAGGCCGATCTTACGGTCTGGTTCGCCCCTGACATCGTACCACTCAAAGAATTCCTTTTCGTTAAACGCTTTGGACGTGTACCGTTGCACGACGTCCTTGAGCTCATCCTTAGTCAGAGAGCCGCTGCCATCCTTGTCAAGCTTCGTGAAAAGCTCACCGATCTCTTTCATATGGTCCGCCACAATTGGATCGTACTTCTCTTTGTCCGTTTGCGCCTCGTCCGAGCTGTTCGCCCCGCGGAACGAGTTGGTGCACTTGAGCTCGGTGATGGGCGTGAACATCTCGCTGATGGAGGACTTCAGCTTCTCCAGCATGCCGGGCTCCTCGGGCGCAGTCTCGGGCGCCTCCTCCGCCGCCAGGCCGCGCGAGAGGACGCCGTCCAGCTTCTCTGGCATGCCAGGCTCCTCGGGCGCAGTCCCGGGCGCCTCCTCCGCCGCCAAGATGAAGCTGTCCACCTCGGCCGGCGCAGCAGGCGCGTGAGCGTAGTCGGCGGACTGGCGGAGGGAGCCCTCCTTCAGGGCCTGCTCGTAGGCGACGGCGTTCTTGCTGGCACCGCAACCCTGTGCGGCGGGCGGCACGGGTGAGGCAGGCGAGGGGGCAGCGCGGAGGCAAGCGTGGCGC